AGAAAGTAACGAGGTATCCTGTGAGGTACAGCCACACGATTTGAGAGGAAGGTAGGAGTCGGGGGGGTGCTTCTTGCTATCGACAGCCTTGTCAACAGCCAAGGGGTCTAATCACTGACCTGAATGGGAATCCCCTGGCTGAATTGTAGCTGTACGTTCCTGTTTGTGTTGCCAGTTCAGTAACGAAACCCATAAGACTAAGGCCCTCCACACTGGAAGCTCTTAACACCTTGATTATCTGCGGAAACTTGACTGAGACGAGATTTGATTTTTGGATTTAAAACATGAATAATTTTTAGTGTAATAGAAAAATCCGAGCCCCAGATGGGACTTGAACCCACGACCCTCCGTGATCTAGTCGGATGCTCTAACCACTGAGAGCATCTAACCACATGATGCCCTAACCACATGATGCTCTAACCACATGAAAACATGAATACAATTGTTATTAAAATACAAAAATATCAATTTTTAAAAGTATAATCAAGGATCAAATGTAAGAGATTAAGACTGTCCCAACACCACAGATGCAAAAGGTTTACACAGATAAGGACTTTTGGCAAGAGAAGGGCTGGTGTACTGATTTGTCAACTCTGCTAAATTCATGCTGAGCAAACCCAATTGTTTATCATCACTAGAGTCTAAAATTCAAAGGCCGGACATTAGTGTCCAAAATCCAAAATCTACATTAGTGGCAAAAAATCTAAAATCTGACACTTATGTCCAAAAATCTAAAATTGGACACTGGTGTCCAAAATCATACAGTGGTGTCCAAATGTCTTCCTACTGCTTTGGTATTTTTCATGGGGGACACATTCCTACTGCTTTGGTTTTTTTCATGGGGGACACAATCCTACTGCTTTGGTTTTTATCATGGGGAACACATTTCTACTGCTTTGGTTTTTTTATGGGGGACACATGTCAAAGGTTTTTGTGATAATATATGCTGCCCGTATCTCCAAATCATTATACTATTATTATTTTTAAAAAATATTCAAAGAGGGAGCCCAGCTCACCATAGCAGTTATCAGTGAGGCCCTCAATACTATTTTTGACTAAAACATGTCATTTCCTTAATTTACTATTAATTTTTAGACGTGGCCTCCTTAATCGAAACCGCTCTCAATTTGACATTTCGCATCGCGTGATGAATGAATGATCCATTGCGTGATTTAGTTGGCAACCGAGAAAGTCACGCAAACTTGTAACGTTCTAGTTAACAGCTACTATGACTTTTGCGAAAGTATAAAAAAATTTTGACTTACTGATTGGAGCTAAAACCACAATAATATACCCAAGGCATTTGCTGAGTGCAATCTTCAGGCAAGCAACTGTGAAGAAAATGAAATGAAAGGTGAAAAATATCGATCGATCGTTCGTCTGGTCACAACATCTAGACCAACGGCGATAGAAGGTAAGCACGAAATCGCCCGTGAGTATCGAAGATACTTTAACAAAACACTCGCACGTGCACAATTCCTGACTAAAATTTGTTTCTACATCCCATTCGAGCTTGGCATCACAAAATTTACCACCCCATCACTTCAGAACGGCATTTTTTATTAGATAGCCCTAAAACATGGCTTACCGTGGAAAAAGTTAAAGTTGACGAAAAATTCATCGTGGCAATGTTTAGGAACAATGAAGAGAACCAACGGAGTGAAAAAGAAATCGCCCACAGCCATTTGGAGTGGAATATTTAATCAATAAGACTTCCGCCTTTCACTTTCCTGTGCTTTCCTGAGCTTCCTTCTTCTCCAGTTCTACCGCTGATCAAAGATGAATACCGAATACATTTCGTGCATGTCACGAAGATTGCGTGACATAGCATTGTCGTGGCTTATCCTTCATAAGCCAGAAATCGCTTACAATTAAAGATTTAACAAATAAATTATTTTTTCCCAGTCTTCTGTAGATAACTTTATTCTCGACAATTCATGATAAGACTGGTAAGTAAAATTTCTTCATAGGAAAAAAGACCTTTTTCTCTATCAGTTGTTGAAGCAAGAAATAAAAGAATGTTCTCAGAAGATCAGTTCTACATGATTCAACCCTGGCTGAGTGCTATAAGGTTTACCATAACATCACTCTATTTGAAGCGATTAACTCTTTCACCCCTGCATGATCTGCATCCAATTTCTCCCAACAGTGTAACCCCTAAATCAACCATTGTCACGAGAATAAAGTGTGTGATTGTAAACTCAAGAAGCTCTTGATTGTTAGACAAATTCTCTTTGTCAGTCCCGTAGGAAATGTATAGAGAACAGTATGGAGAATGTGCATACTGATGGTAGGGTATAAAGGGTTCACAAGGACATGGAACATGATGCAAAATTTCACTCATTTGTCTCTGTTTCAATAATAATGTAAATCTTTGTTTAATCCATTCACATTGCTACAAAATGCCACAATTCAGTGAAAGAACCTAACCTTGCATTGTACAGATTTAGAATGAAACAGTGTTTGCATTACAGAGTAACTATACATACCTAACTAATTTAAACCACTCTTTATTCCACCCTTGAGGCAAAATTGGATCAGTACAAGAGACTGAGAAAATAATGTTAACTTCAAAGACAAAAGAGATATTATTGTAAAGCTTTATGAGTACCAGTAGTAACTGGTAGGTGAAATTAATATGAATAGAAAAGAGAATTCTTTCATCAAAGAAGATGGAAAGTGAAGTTTCTTTGTATCCTGAGTGCTGAAAGAAGTTTCAAACGTTTGTGGATGACCAGAACTTACATCACAAGGACCAAAGGCAAAAAAAACAAAAACACAGCTTTGTGGGTTAACAAATTCCTTCCAAAACATCAATGAAAAATTCCCAATGCCTATCATTTTATTGCTACAATCTTTGAATTTCACATCTTTCACATCTTTGTAAAGAGGATGGGATAAGTATGGAAATGACTTTACAGAAGATACATCACCAGGAATACCAAAAGACGATCGTATGTTATGCATCAAAAGACAAGAGTTCACTAAGCCTCCTTCTTCTTCAAGTCTGGTTTGACACTCCAGTAATAGAGAACTTGGAAGGTGAGAGTCGCATTCAGTGTTGCTGACACAAGAAAGGTCATCAGCAGAACTTTGTCACCGGTCTCTTGTATAGTGGTGAAGATGCGCGCCACAGCTCCCAGGAACAATAAGAGAACCATGATGAATGACAGCTGCCCTGTGTGGCCATTACGGAAGTTAGCAACTATCTGTATGAGCTGAAGAAGAATTGAATGTCAGTACTCGGACATCTGTGCTGCAACATGAAGCAAATACAAAAATTTCTAAGCTCCTTCCTCCCTGAATGGGAGGCTAGTCCGTTGAAAGTTTCTCTTCCCCCCCTTCTAACTCCACCATTTGGTCCAATGGCCATGGCAGGTTACCCATATCCATTTGCACTCCAGGGGAGGGAAGGGAAGCACTGAGAGAGTTAACTCTTTAACTCCTAGAAGTGATTAACCTGCAACTTCTCCCTCTAATGATCAAACTTTATCCAGCAAACAGGTAATGAGAATACCCAAACTTATCCAGTAGAAGTTGTTGTCTTGATCTAACACCAAATTCTCCTAACTAATTTACAAGGAAATGTGTAACAGGTAAACAGGAGAATGAAAAATCAGATCCTAGAACTCAACACAATAACCCAGCCAGAGCTTCATCCCAGACCTCAAAAAATTGGAATCTAGCAGGCTGATCATGAAATTAGCACATCTCATCTCCATGTGATCTCGCCTAAGTATGACAACCCTATGGTAAAACATTTTAAGATGAAAAAAAAATAGGCAGAAAAGAGGGTGAAAAAGGAAAAATATGGTGAGCACACCCAGGGATGAAACCTGAGCTTCTTAATTCATATTCCTGTGAAAAAAAATTACTGTTACCACAACTCTAAACAACAAAAGCGTAAATTATGTATTGGTGAAAAAAACGAAAATTTCAACAATGTCCATCAACTCACCCTACTTGTTGCAAGAAAAAGAATGTTAAGGGAAACAAACTGAGTCAACACTGACATTGGAGTCAGGCCAGATGCTAGAACATAAACAATGCCTCCATACAACACTGGGAAAATAATAGCAGCCAAAGGTTGGCTGGTGTAGTAAAAGTACATCAAGATCAACAAACAGCCCTGGATTGACATGAAGAAACTCTCACCCCAAGCACTGAAATGGAAAAAGAGATCAGGGATTAACACGTAACCTCTCCCTTAAATATCCATATAGCATCCAACAAACACGTAATGAGAATATGGTAAAAGCCATCTTGATCTAACACCAAATTCTCATAACTAATTTACAGGGAGATGTGTGGCAGCCACAGGGGAGAATGAACTATCAGATCTTAGGATTTAATTACATGTTAATCAGTTTTGAGTGTAAAAGGGTTATGTGTTATGTTCTAGTGCACCATAAACCAAACTGTTTTCTTTTCTTTTTCAGACAGAACAATACATTTTCTGCAATCTGGGGTTCCTCCACAGGTCACAAATTCTCATACAGCCCTCCCTACCATGTATGTTTTATCCATAATCCTAACTCCCTTGTAAGCCCTCCCTACCGTGCATGTTTTATCCATTATCATAACTCCCTTGTAAGCCCTCCCTACCGTGCATGTTTTATCCATTATCATAACTCTCTTGTAAGCCCTCCCTACCGTGCATGATTTATCCATAATCATACCTCCGTTGTAAGCTAGTGCCAACCTGGATCAATGTCCATTCCTCAGATTTAAACCTACCTGAAAGGGAAAGCCTTGGCGTAGCTGTATGTTGCATTAGCAGTCAAAGCTACCAGCTCAAGAACGAAAGCCAATAAACTGAGACCCTCCACACTAGACGCTTGTACAACCTTGATAATTTGGGGGATTTTGACTGTGAATGGAGATTTGATAATGATAGTATAAGTTTAGGACAATTGATTGGCTTGTTTCACTTTAAATTCTTCCACTATGCACCAGTTGGCAAGCCTGTAGAGAACAACTGATGCATGCACATCTTTTTGGGGAGGGGAGAGGGTTTGCCGCAGATGCTCAAGTCAAAGTGTTGCAGGTGAAAATCAGTCAAGCATATGTGACCTCGAGAGCTTCAGTCGTATTGCACAAGGCTCATGTAGCTAAGACTGGCTCTGGAAATGCAAGATCTCTTCAAAGTATGCCATACTCTATTTATTGATCATTTAGCAAAAGTTAAGCAAATATCGATTTCTGCTTGATGCGACTTTTCTAGACGTGGGTTTATATTCCGCTTCCGGTCTGTGTGCAGTAAGAGCCTTCAAACCATGAGGTTTTGCCCTGCCCTGGGGGGAAGGGATATCACGCAATCGCTTATATTTAACAATTATTCCACGAGTGCGCGTTGGATATGAGATGATAGATATCCAATGAGGCGCATAGCGCCGAGTTGGCTATAATCATCTCATATCCAACAAGTACGAGTGGAATAATTGTTTTATTAAAAACACCCTCAAGAAATTATTATTTTGTCAGAAGAAAGCAGATTTTTTAGCTCCCTTTTGATTTTAAACTGACGCGTATGCTTACCATATTTGGAGATTATGGTATATTGGCTCATATACCATAATGGCTAAGCCAATAAAAAGTCTTGAATTGCATTATCCAATGATCCAGTTTTTAATAAAAAACATTACTCAATATTCCAGTAAACATAACTTCGATCGATTCTGATGACAGTTGACAACAATATTATTTCTGAAAATTCAAGCCACAATTTCCAAAGAACTTACTCATTGCCGATCCAACGACAATTCCATAACCCAAACACTTGCTAATTGCAATCTTTAAGCAAGCGGCTGCAAGAAAAAAACAACAACAACATCTCTTAAAATATTAACACAAATCACTCAAAGATCAGACTATCAAATGTGCAGAGATAATGCCGAAATAAAAAAGATCTCAAGGTTTCAAAAATATGATAAAAGCAGTAATATCTCAGCGTATGAGCTTAGCATACCATGAAAGAAGTTGAAGTTGATAAAGAATTCATCGTGGCAGTATTTTGGAACAATGAACAGGACTAAAGGAGTGAAGAAAAACTCGCCGACCGCCATCTTTGAGTCCACGTCAAAACCAAAGTAGATCCTTCGTGTAAGAATCACTGAACTGTCTCTTAGAGTCGTGGGATTGGGAATCATGAAGATAAGAAAAATTGTGGAAAACTTCCCAGCGAACTGTTGTTCTTGGCTACGACTCGAATTTTAAATCTCTAAACTTCCGATTGGCTTATCCTTCTTCAGCTTCACCGAGCCCCTTGAGAACGTCGGTTGCAACCTTAGAAACTTAGAAAATCTTGTTTGTTACTAAGTTCAAAGCAATGGTTGTAAGTCGACTGTTGCCAACATACACCACGGGAATAAGTAGATAAATAATATTAGAAGAAAGCCTGTTTATTTTATGAGAAGACTATAATCATCAAAACCATAGGAACGATAAATTCTCGATAATTCAGTCCAGTCGAACTTGATAATAACAAAAAGTAGTCTGTTAAGGTTGCAAGGGAAAAAGTTTCGGAAGATAATGACATATCGAAAAATGAGTGAGAAAAAACCGAATTCACTCTGTACATAGCTATAAAGGTAACCTCTTCATAGAATGTGTCCGTGAAAGTGAGAGAACTTATTGTCGTTTGAGGATGAAAATGAAACAGTTTTTGGATATGACGAGGGACATACAACGTTTCACGCTTTTTTAAAACTTACAGTTTTCGCAATCATACGAGTTCAAAAACTGTTCAAAGGAGTACGGTTTAAACAACAGAAGGCATGGCAACTTTGTAATTTAATACGTCCAATTCTTGTTGTAACATTAATCAAATTATAACAATGCTAGATTGGAATCACGCGAAGTATCCAAATTCTTACATCTTAGTTGTAACATTATTATTCAAACAATAACAATGCTAGTTTGGAATCACGAGAAGTGTCCAGTATGGCTGTGGTAGGTAATACCGGAAGTTGGCGGCAGTTGACAACAAGTGTACCTCCTCTTTGATTAATTTGAAATGAAAATGTTAAGCTGGTCAATATTTAACTGGTTACCAAGATCAACCTCGCAAATCCTTTTTATCACTGACAATCTTCTCAGAACAGGCAGTTAATCAAACTTTATAGTGATAAGCTTTAAGGTAAATTCGTACGTGATCTTTGATTCAGTCAGTTTAGCAATTGGCTAGCCTATGGAGCTGTTGGTGGAAGTCTTGGGTATCGACAGAAAAACCCGGATGATCAGCAAGACAGACTAGTTTATCGGCAAGACATATCTTCAGAACGGTTTAGCGGTTTTCCTTTTTTCTATCAGGAATACTTCATCTGTTTTGTGAATCATTGGCATTGTTCTACTATGTTGTAAATAAACGGATTATCCTCAATAGAAATTGTAAGTTCGAGATAACACAGAACTTTTCAGTCTACAGCCCGCCGGAGAGACGCGTTATCTTGCCGCGGAGCTGATAATCCTTACATCTTATAAACCGATCAGTGCTTCGATAACGTTGGATTTCCTCTCGAGGTGATGACTTCGCTGACAATTTGCCACACGAAAATCAGATCTTCATTCCACAGCTATCTGAACTAAATAATCATTCAGATTGACAGCAAGAATGATCAAAATTGAACTTCTCTCAGTAAGATATATACTATGAAGGGTCTCCTATGGGTTATGAGTATTTAGGAACTACTCACGATAATCGAATATTGAGATGAACTAGAAAACAAGAAGATGGGTGATTGTTCGCGATCCTAAAAAAATTTTGTTCCATTGTTTGGTAAGTGTTAGTGAAACTTGTGATATCTGTTATTACCAGGTTCTCGTCCGAATGTAAAACATTTTTCTGCGATAGCAAACATTTTGCGTGTTTAGTCCTATCAAGATTTCTTGTAAAAGTTTGTGCAAGCAAAAGAATATACTTGTTTTCATTGTATGTATTTCTTTTTTTTTGGCGAGAGAATTCATACATGATTTTTCCCCTGATAGCAACCGTCGTGAAAGTCATGTACTGTACCGGAAACAGAAGTTGATATCCGACAGTATTGCTCATTCTTACTTTGATATCTAACTCAATGTTCTTACAACCATGCAAAACACTGGCATTGTGCGTCTTATTTTCCCGATGCAATCAACCGCGAAAACCTCATTTAGCTCTTCACACCTGAGTATCATGGTTGTCTCAACATAATCGCATTTTTCGCGCTAATGACAGAGAAACTCGATTACTTTTTGAGAACTCTCAAATTACCCGAATCCGATGTTGTTTGTTGGAGGAACAATTAATTAAGCATTGGGTTATCTTTGACGTTCAAATCTTGTCACCATCTCCAGGGCGTCACAGGTGAGGACCACAAACAAATTCTCCCTTCATTCTGTTTACTTGGTGGGAATCCATTCAATTTAGACGCATGTATTAAAAGCAGTGAAAGACCTTGGAATTTCCAGCTGTTACAGCTGCAAACACGCGGCACTAAATCTGCAAAGACGACAGGATTTCAAGTATCTTGAGTGGCAATTCGTAAACATAGCTCTAAACTCAACTTAAACCAGCGAAAGCGATCGAAAAACTACGATGTCGCACAGTTTGACGATAGCTGGCTTCTTGTGGGTGATTCTCTCCGTTCTGGGCGCGTTTGCGGCTTCCTCGGGTTTTTTCTTGCCCTACTGGATACAAGGACAGATATACAACACAACAGTTTACTTGGGCGTGTTTCGTCGATGTAATTTCTTAAAAAAACGAGCAAACGGACTCTCGATCCTTGTGCAAGCCTGTGGCCGATATGCAAGTTTTCAAGACATTCCTTCGGAGGCATGGAAAGCTAGTACAGTGATGATAGGAATCGGTTGTGGGTTCCTGCTTGTAGTCGCTTTCACAGCCATGTTTTCCTGTTGTTGTAAAGACATTGTAACACGGACTTCGGCTCGGGTCGGAGGAGCGCTGCAAGTTTTAGCTGGTGAGTAAAGATTTCGGACAGACATCCATGTGCCAAAAGCTGATCTCATTATAAGAGTCCCGAGTGTATTTACCAAACTGTTCCTACCTCTTAAGTATAACACCTCGTAATGGTTTGTTTACTTTCTTTCCTAACTTAAAGTTGAAATTTCGAATTTAAAGGGGCACTTAAATGCGCCCTTAAATGCGCCCAGTTAAATCTGAAACGATTTATCAATTAGTTTGCTTCTCTGTCCTGAAAATTGCCGATGTTACAAATTATCCGCCTTTTATCAATTAACCACAAAATTAAAGTTTGCAAAATTTATCAACGCAAATGAAAGTCTTGCGCAAATATTTTAAGAAATACTTTTCTCAAAAATGTATAATTGTTTTTCTGCGAAAAGAAAGTGCTTTCCAGAGCTAGCATTCCGCTCAAAGATAATTGCACCGACTACACTCGATTAAATCGAAGTAAAATGGTGAATTTGGTCACATTGGCTATTAATAACTAAGTGGCTGCGTTGATTCTACAAATTTTCACAAAGAAAATTATCAAGGGCATATTTCTCAAAATTCAAATGGAACCTGGTAGTAACCGAGAAGGCGTATTGATGGAACTTTTTTGGGGCAAATTCGAGTCGAGTATTTATTTGAAACACCACAACAGATAAGATTAATTTCCTTCGATCGTGAGTAATAAGTGAAATATGTGCGGGTCAACAAGTTGACCACAGGAAAATGACCTAGAGCTATGAAAAAGGAAACTGTTTGTTTCAAAAACAAAGCTTTGTGGTCACGTTCTTACATGTAATTTCATCTGATAAACACAAGTATGCTGGCTCCATTAAGAGAGTGCGTATTGTTTTCGCAGCGATAATGTTAAAAAATAATGCTTGGTTCAATTGAGATGAAGATTCGTGTCGTATTTGTTTGGACACAAAGGAAAGGAAACGATTAACGAGTTGGAGTTTCGATAACAAAGGTCCCCGAGGAAAGGTCAAATATCTCACGTTGATAGATTTTTAATTGTTGTTCTTATTTTTTTTTCTCTGTAAAAGAAAACACAAAGTAGCGATTTATTCAAAATAACGTTCTAGAAAACAATCAGTGAATTCCTAACATAGCTGGAGATTAATGATTTTTAACTCTGCCTTGCTCAACCTCTTTTTTCGAATTTCCAGCGACGCAACCAGAAAGGAATGATATTCTCGTCGGTTAGGAGTAAGAAAAGAACCCTAGGAAACTAGATTTTAACTGCACTATGGAGAACTTATGGTTTGACACGCGTAGTTTGCGCGCTAGGTATCAACACCGTGTTGTCGTGGCGCGAAATCTTCTGAGGATTCCAGCTCCTCTCTTCTGATTGGATAAGAAGAATCATTTACTTATAGGGTATTTCCGAAACGCTACGGCCTGGTTCTTTCCTTTCTCTCTCCATCGCTTCTTAGGGAGGGAAGGTAAAGTCACTCTAAAATAACTTAACTTTTTTTCGTCTCCCGTTTTCAATCTTGAATTTATCGAGGGGTACCGGGTCTTAGTCAATGCTAGGGTGGGTCGTAATTGTTGTGTTCTTGGGTGTGGCACGTTACTCTCACCATGCCACTCTCCACCCAGGAGTAAAATGGGTACTGGAAACTGTCAGGGAGGCTTGATGAAATGGTAAGGGGTGGGGGGCGTAACTTACGATGGACAAACCTCCCTTCCAGGGGGGAGTAGTAATACCCCTAGTTGCTTCATGCTTCAAAACTCGGGATCAGCTCGGGCTCGTGGGTGCAGCGTTTCCTTTCTATCTTACCTTGTTCTTAATAAGTATTAATTTATCCATTCATTCATTTTGATCCACAGGCTTTCTCCTGGCGATTGCTTGTGGCATTTACCCTTCAGGCTGGGGAAGTGTTGAATTTAAGCAAGCTTGTGGAAAAGAAGCAAATTTTTACAGGCTCGGCCATTGTAAACTAAGCTGGGCTTTCTTTTTGTTCGTGGCAGGTACTGGTTCGGCCTTTATTTGTGCTGTTTTGTCCACTCGTGCTGCGAAACAGAACAAGCCGATCTATTCACGAACAAGTATAGAGCGCTCAAACAGCTTCATCATGTAACACAATCATAGGCACCTATTTGCAGCATCTCTCTAAGGACAAAAAAAACAATTCTGGATGTATACCTGACAGCATTTAAGTCAACGACGTGAGTTTTACTCTCGTAAGGCCAACATTTTCGTACAATAATCAGTCATGCCTGAAGAAGTTCAGAAATTTCCAAAGACGTTCCGAGTATATTCCGAAGGTTTCCGAAAGAATAGACGAGAATGCGGTGTCTCTAAAGTTCTCTGTTCCACATGTGAAGGTTCAATTTTATGTAAAATTATTTGCATGAACTGTAATTATCTCTTATTGATTCGAGTGATTCAGTTGAAGCTTAAATGTGAAAATTGCAACATTTTTCATGGCAAGATGCCTGAATGTATCATATAGATTCACCATTTAACCAGTCGTTTCCCTACGCGTAATAATTTCAGCCGCCTACCACCATCGCCTCTGCCTCCATAAAAACATTTATTGGTCAAAGAGGTCAGATACCTGTCGTTTAGTCTAAAGTTCTTGCTGGTTAGTGGTTTGTATGGCTGGCGATTATAAAATCTCTGGAGGACACTGTACGCCTCGCCTCTAGCTCATCCCCATTTCCCCTCCTCCAGCTACTAATGAACGCGAAATAAGTGTTATCACAATTCAAATGGACAAGGCATATTGTACACAATATTCTTGAACTCCAAGTGACAATGCAGAACACAAGTAATGCGTAATATTTTTTAGCCTTCAATAACTTTTTTAATCACCCCTCTTGCCTCAGTCCCTCTCCCTGATAAGCCACTTTTCAATGTACTCACTAGGGGCAATTAGTAAACTCCCCAGGGATTTATTGTAATGTTTACAGTATTATAAGTGAGCTTTTTGCCCAAACAGAAGGGCACTTATTGCTTTAACTTGCAGAAATGTCTAACATGTTGCTTTTCTTTGGCAAATCAATGAAACATAATCCAGTAGAGAGAGGTTCTGAGAATTGACTAGCTTTGTTAGAGAGAGGATGGTAGCTTGATATATCCTCAAAATCTCATTACTTAATTTAAAGCAATTGGCTAACAGTTTGAGGAGGCTGTGGTCTTGAGAAGTTTTATTCAATTTTGTCAAACCTAAAAATCAGAAGATACAAAAAGATGATTTCCTGCTGTAAAAGGAGAGCCCCCTTTAGAAGAAAGACTGTATTAGGTTACACTTGTTAGTAAAATGCGTTTAACTGTGTTTGGTACAATACACTGTGTTCATATGCTGTGTTAGAAACTTATCAATACAACCAAGTTTTACAAAAGGAAACTTAAATTCGACAAATTCTTTGAAAACATTTCTGAAAGTCTATCTCAACTCTAATAGTTTCCGAATGAATTTCATAACTTTACATGTATTCTAAGGTGCATGTGAAAAATAAGCCTAGCAAACTGTCACAAATAGAAATTTGATCAAAATCATGATTATACCAAACTCTACAAGTAAGTTTTACAAATAGCAACTGACAATAATGACTTCAACTGCATTTCCCATACCCTGAAGAAGCTTACATCTAGGTTGTGTTAGTAAACATGCACCATCAAAGCTTCCATTCGGGGTTGTAAAGCAATCCAAACTTGCAGTAAAGTTTATTTTTCCAGTGGAGCATAATTCAACAATTTTTCAATCAGATCCACATGCGAAAGAAGCATTCTTCTGCAACAGTATCTTTTAAGACCCAAAGCATCAAGAGCATCTCTGGTGGGACAAAAAAAAAAAAAAAGCAGTGTTAAACTTTGAACCTTCAAAGGATGATCAATTTGTAATTTCTCTCTGAAATACCACTAAAAAGTCAAAATTAACCCAATGACTTCTTAGAGTGACTGGCTTCTAATTTCACTTACAAAGTCCCCCCCCCAACTCACACGATTGACCCCTAAGAGCGACTAGCATCCGATTTCTTCCCACAACACCACCCCCAACTCGCCCATTAAGGTCACCTGAATAAAAGAAATGATCATTGACTAAAGAAGCTCTTGATTGTTAAACAAATTCTCCTTGTCAGCACCTTTGGAAATGCATAGAGAACAGTATGAAGAATATGCACTCTGATGTTAGGGTGTTAAGGGATCATACTGTCTTGATGTTACTAATTTACAAGAAACAATTGTGGGAAAGAGTTCCATATAACCCCATACATAATTATGCATTCCATTTCATAAAGACTAAATATAAGGTTTCTTTGCAACACTCTATGCATAATTCATGTATGAGGTTATATGGAACTCTTGCCAAATTGTGCACTTATGATTGGCTGAAAACAAGAATTTTTTCATGTAACACAAATGTAAAGTTATAATATAAGTACAAAGTTGTACTATGAGTGCAAATAACAATGCATGCAGTCTGTCAAAATTTCACTCTTTACTTTCTGAGGTGCTTTTGTCATTTAAATTTTCAATAAGTAATAACCTGATTTCTCGTGCTATTTGGTGTAATAAGCACTAGTAAATTTTTTAAAGACTACAAATTGCACTTGCCCTACATTTTCATGCAATTTTGTCGTCTTTGAAAAATTAAATCCATGGGAGTTAACAATTCAATGATGGAAGTAACTGAGTTATCAAATTACAAAATCAACTTGAACTCTGCAACGCAAATTCTTCAGTTTTGCAGTGATAAATTCGCTTGAGTTTAAGTCCAGTGAGGAAATCTGTCGATCTTAAGAAAAGTAAGTGTTGAAGTGAATTTAATGAGACCATTCAGTAGCATTTTTTGTCACTCTATTCAGACTAAAAGTAAGAAACTCCCAATCTGGATGAGCTACTTCTGGTTATTTCACATTACTTGCACTAAATATTTACCCTTCGGTATATTCGGCTTGTAGTAAACCGAGGTAGGATTCCCACTTGTTACCAATCACTTTCCCACACGTAAAACAGCGAATAGGAATGATCATGGTCTTCAGACAACTAAAAACAAACACAAAGGCAACTGGATAAGTAACATAAGCACGTGCAAACTTCGAAAAATCTTGCGGCAAAATCTACATAGCACGTTCATTAGAATGTTCAAATATCAAACTATGTGAGAATTAAGGTCAAAATTTACTTACTTTCAGCGCCAGACGAAGAAAATTGAAGAAATAACCACGGTTTTCACCTAAAAAGTTGCCAATGGATCGAAGCTCACATGCAGCCTACATTTCGCTTCACCCTCTAGCGGACAATGGAACACGCTGGAGTAATACATTGCAGGCTCAGCTGTTTTAGTCACGTTTGAAGATGGCTGGAAAAAGTATAGGGTCTGGAATTTCTTCTTTATTACAAGGATCGTGCAAATTTTGCAAGGTTTGTAACATATCTAATAATCTTTTTTTTGTTGTTATTTGGAGCCTTTGAACGAAAATGTTTCTCTTCACGATGAAGTCAGATGTTTCCCACCATCGTGAGGGTGTGCACGTTCAACTGTTACTACCGTATACTTTTTCACTGTTTTTCAAGCCTTTTTTTAGTATCAGGACATTGACTGAGAAAGATTAATTTGGTTATATCAACTCAGTTGAAATATATAAATTGGCCACCGTAACGAATAAAAACGCTGACTTTTCGAGCGTTAGACTTTGAAAGATTAACTTTTGTTCGAGAGTTTTGCGGCTTTCCGTGTTGTCTAAATGTAAGGAAAGACCGCAGATAGCCATATGTAGTTTGGAATGATTTGGTAAATTGAAGTGCCTAGCGACTGGTTTTGAGAAAGATTAGTACGCAATTTCAATTAAATGAAAGATACGGCAAATGTTTGTTATAATTTCGTTCTCTTTAAATGATTTAATAATTATTCACGACGTTTTTACGTAGGGTTTAAAAACAAAGGGGGATTTAGGGTATCTCAGTGTACCCCTCCCCGTAACCCTTTCTCTGCCAAGATCTCATTAGTAATTCTCCTCACTGTCTGTCATACAACTCTTATTATGTTAGTTTGGAGAATTTGGTATTGGATCATCTGATAATCCCCTAATTGTCTTCAAATCATTGTACTGTCTCTCTCTATTTATTAGTCAAGGGCTCGGCGGTGTTATTTAATTTGTAAGGAAGGTAAACATTTAACTCTTTACACCCTAACATCAGTATGCATATTCTCCATACTGTTTTCTATACATTTCCTAAGGTGCTGAGAAGGAGAATTTGTTTATCAGTCAAGAGCTTCTTTAGTTGATGATTATTTCCTTTATTCTCCTGACCTTATTGTGTGATTCAGGGGTGGTATTGTAGAGAGAAATTAGATGCTAGTGACTGTAAGGGGTCAAGGGGTTAAGGCTTGCTTTCCTTGTGACGTGTTTGTGATAGATATTTTATGATTACCAAGATGTTGCTGTAGATGGAAAGATAATCTGTAGAATTTAACTTCACAGCAACAAACAGTTTGGTTCAGGAGATATCCACAGACATGGTCCAGAGGTTTACAGACATCAGCAGTTCGAAATGAACAGGTTTGTTTTTGATCTTGATTCATAAAGCAATTATAGGGCCAGGTAGTTTTAAGGTAAGTATAAGCATTCTGATTGGTTTCTAGTTTGTCGAGATTTTGCCATATGGGCTGTTTCCATAGAAATGGTGATGTGCCATGTCTTTTTATTCTTGAAAGCAAGCAAATTCCAAATAAAAAAAGATTACTGCTAGTTTGAGTGCTGCATATTAAGAAACTAGCCCTCACTTGTTTGAGCAGTACTAAGGAATCTGGACCCTTGGTCATTTATATAACCAAGTACAGTTCTTGCACTTGGCTAGTAAGAGGGTATTATTTTTAACTTGTGATGATATCTACTCCAAGTAATTCTCGATTGTGATGGATCTTTTTTACGTCTGTGAAATTTTGATTGTCGAAGCTAAGAAAGTATCATTCATTATCATATTAAAAACAAAACCTCATTAAAATTAACTTTCAACGCACTTGAAAACACGTCTACTACAAAACTAGTCTCGTCCACAGACCTCTTCAGTTGTATGCGATGTTAATTTTAATGAGGTTTTGTTTTCAATATGATTTTGATGTCTTGTATGTGATATAACAGGTGATGAAGTATCAGTCATAATTAGGATGCATGCAATAATGGTGGTAAAGTTGATGATGGTAACTCTTTGGAAAGAGTATTACACCTTGACATCAGTATGCATATTCTCCATACTGTTCTATGTACTTTCCTTTTGGTGTTGACAAAGAGAATTTATTGAAAAGCTTCAGAACTTCATCAGTTGATGATCATTTCCTTAATTCTCTTGACCTCAATGTTTGATTTAGGGGTGATCTTGTATGGAGAAATTAGATGCTGGTTACTTTAAGGGATTAAGGGGCTGACAGACATCTCCTGATTTCTCACTCTATTCTTGTAATTATCTTGTAGCTCTTTGACAAGATTCTTATTGCAAACAGAGGAGAGATTGCATGTAGGGTATGTAACTTTTTTTTTGTTTTTTGGTGCATGTGATTTCAAGTTTTCATTTTTATTACTGACATCTTATCAGTGTCTGTGAATATAAGAAGATCATGTATTTGATCTGTGGTTAAGAAATGAGTATGTTTTGAGGCCTTATTTTCACTACTGCTTAAGTGGTGTTCATCCCTGCAAAGATCGCTCTAATACTCATTTCTTTAACTGCAATTCAAATAAATTTTATGATTTTCATACATTCACAAACATTGACTCATCACTTTACTGGTTTATTACAAACCAACATAATAACCACCTCCCAGTTGAGTTGTTAGCTCAGTTGGTAGAGCACTGAACTGGTATTGCAGAGGTCACGAGTTCAAATCCCATACAGGCCTGAATTTTTATTAGGCCTTATTTTCACTACTACACAAGTAGGGTTGTTTATTGCGAGGATTGTTCTTATACTTATGACATCTTAATTATCATTGTACTTGAATTTCTTTTATTGTGATTTTTAGGTCATGAAAACATGTAAACTTCTTGGAATTAAAACTGTTGCAATCTATAGTGAAGCAGATGCAAATGCTGTGAGTTTTACTATCAAAATGCATTTTCTTTACACCTGGGTATTTTTTATTGGAAGAATTAATAAACTCAATAAAAGCAATAAACTCAGATCATCATATATTACAGCCTCAAAAAAAAAAGTTGGCATTTTAAGCAGAAGATTTATTGATAGGTTTTTTTATTCCAATTGTGAAATAGATGTGAGCACCAAAAAGGGTTACAATTATGGTTTTAAATGAAATGTTAACAGATGGCAATTACAGGAGGCCTTTCCAGGCATTTTAAGTAGTATTTGCTTACTGGTAGCTGGCTGTTAATTCCCTGTTTACCCTTTTACTCCCAAAATCTCAATTGTAATTCTCGTTACTGTCTGCAATACAATTCTGGTGATGTGAGTTTGGAGAATTTGGTATTGGACCAGCTTATAAAGTCATAATTGATATATTTTTTTTATTCTCATCACTTGTCTGCCTGTTTGTGTTGATATTTTAAGGAGAAATTCTGTTTTCAGTGGTCACTCATAAGAGTTTTTAAAAGGGTCAAAGAAACAGAATGACTCTTACTTTATTATTGATGTATAAAATCATTTTCTATTATAGCTGCATGTCAAAACAGCAGACGAATCCTTCTGTGTTGGTCCTCCCCCCACAAATCAAAGTTATCTCAACATGGATGCCATCATGGAGGCCATAAACACAACAGGAGCTCAAGCGGTAGACAAAGAACATCTTGGCCTTTAAATACCATAGATT